GTAATATACTGCTGTATAATAATAATGTGTTTTTTTTTATATAAAAGAAAAGTGTGTAGAATTAAAAACAAAATAAGAACACGGAGCCTTGCAAACTTTTAATGGTTCTTACAAAAGCAAATGTGAATATCTTTAAATAAATTCCATTTTCTTTACAGTAGGAAGGGAACTTGCATTGTAATAGGCCTACATAATAGTTAAATATAAAGATTTTATTTATTTAATTATTACTTCACAGCTATTATTACAACAGTACAACTATTTAAACTTTTTTACACTTTTTTTTTATAGGCCTATCTATCTGTTGGGTTTAAAGTCATGTTTTGGTTATTGCGTTTTATAAATATTTGACACTTACCCGTTGCGGTGACCAATGTTATATAATACTGTCCTCGTGCTTTCAACGTCACTCTTGTTTCTCTGCATCACGCATAAATCTTTCGCCTTTTACTAAAGATTTCCGTGCAGAGGAACACTCATTGATTTTAAACTCAATTTTTCTCAGCCCTTTTGAAAAACAAGGGTCGTTATGAAATAAAAGTATTAATGTGTTAGGTTTTATTTATGTTTCCACACATCGTTGTCTGGATTGTACGTACTTTTCAAGATATTTTGAGAGTTTTTGTATCTCTTTATGGGCGCTTCATTTACCGACTGAATAAGTAAATAAAATTACATAAGATATGAAATAAAATATAAAAATGGATATATCGTGTACAGTACATGAACATATGGTTAAGTGTAACTGAAGCAATGCATAAATAAATGAAACGGGCAAATAAATGATAAAAACAAATTAAAGGCAAAAAAGTGAAAAAAAAAATTAATAAGGGAGTATATAATTAATTATAATTAAACTAAACTTGCATTGTAACACATAGAGCTATAGTTAAATATAAAGATTTTAATTACTTAATTATCACTTTACAGCTATTATTAGAACAGTACAACTTTTAAATTGTTTTTACACTTTTTATTAAACTTTTTTACATTTTTTTAATAGGACTATCTAGCTGTTGGGTTTAAAGTCAAGCTTTAGTTATCGCGTTTTATAAATATTTGACACCTACCTGTTGCGGGGACCAATGTTATATAATACTGTCCTCGTGCCATTTGAGATTACTCTGGTTTCTCTGCATCACGCATAAATCTTTCGCCTTTTACTAAAGATTTCCGTGCAGAGGAACACTCTTTGAGTTTAAACTCAATTTTTCTCAGCCCTTGAGGAAATCAAGGGTAGTTATGAAATAAAAGTAATGTATTATGTTTCATTTGCATTTCCACACATCGTTGTCTGGATTGTGCAGACTTTTTCAGATATTTTGAGAGTTTTTTATCTCGTTTTTTTTCTCTTTTCAGGCAAAGCCACATTTATTCAATAATACATAATACCAATGATTTTCAAAATAACAAATCAAATTAGCAAATTCATATTCAAAATAAAAAGAAAACAAAAGGCCTATATGTTAGACCTCTTAAGTTTCTTATCGTTTCATAGCAGCACAATTTTTACAATCAAATTTCACTCCTTTCATTTCCTTACTAACAATTTATTTTATGAAATTTTGTATTTTTTTTTTCTTTTGTAAATTCAGTTCTCCTTTTTTTTTCTCTCTTTATCCTTTTTCCCTTTCATTTTGAGTTGGAAACCCACAGAGAAGAAAAAAAAAATGTTAAGAGTGAATTTATCAATTAACAGGTCAATCAGAATAACAATAATGCAATGGTAATTGCAGCAGTTGGCATTATTATGATGCTATTACAGGTAAATCCTGATAAATATGTTTTGTTAATTCTATAATACAAAGATTAAAGTCTTAAATAGTTAATTACCTTAATCCATTTCTTTAATACTTTTTCTCTGTTGATAATAAATTCTCAGTTAGATACTACTTTTTAGCATATAGTGATAAATACATACGTAGTTGTTTAGTTCTGACAAAGTTTTTTGTTTATAAATCGTAAACATCTCATTAATTACATTATTATCTGTATCAAGAATAATATCTTTATATTTTATGCTGATGTAATGTATGTTGTTAATTATATTCTGTACATTTTCTCATAAATTACTGACATAATTACAATAAAAAAACATGTTTATCATCTTCAAGATTCCACACTTAATACATAACTCAGAGTCTCTATGTTTCCAACAAAACAGTCGTTTATTTGTTGGAGTAATTTTATGGAGTAATTTGTAATTAAATTGAGCATATTTAAATCCTTTATGAGTTTTACTTTTCTTAGCCAAACAGTGTTCCATTCAATTGGATCATTATTGTCAAATTCATTTTCCCACTTAACTTGTGCGATAGAGTGAATAAAAACGTCATTGACATAGAAGTTATACATATACTTAGAATTAGTTTTTACTAAATTCCGGTTTATTGTCAACTCTGCTTCTTTCTTTGCATTGTGTTGTATTTCTGAGGATTGCTTTTAGTACTGTTAAATATTCACTTAACCAATTACTTTTGTTTAACAACTTTTCCAATATTTCCTTTGACGTCAACAGTCTATTTTTAATAACAATGTCTTTAATTTATTTTAAAGCCCGAATTGTACCAGTTGTTAAATAGCAAAGATTTTTCATTTACATTGATGTGTTTATTACCCCATAGAGGTTGCTCAGCAATCTCGCTATTGCTATTTACTTGATTATTTGTTATACTATTGTATTGAACTGATGATTTTCTTACATTCACATAAAACTGTGGTACCGTTTCCATCATTGTGTTTTGTAACAAATGAATATTTGACATATTGAACAATACAATTTCAGCAGCAAGTTTATTTATATAAAATAACGGAATTAATTTCTATTTGACAAAGTCATTGTTAAGAAGTTTTCTTGCCCAATTTATACTGAAGGCTTTGACATGCAAGCTAAAGTCTGGTACTTTTAAACCTCCAAGTCCTATTAATGTTTTTCTTTTATTTTTTTTTTATTTTTTCACATTCTAGATAAAGTTGTATATAAGTGTATTGACCTTTGTGAAAACATAATTTGGAACTTCAATTATTAAAGCGTTGTAAATCAGTTTCGATAGTGCAGGACACTTCAAAATTTTTACTTTTCCCATTAGAGAAAGGTTTACACTTCCAAATGTTTAATAATTTTTCCAAGCTTAGTAATTTATTATTCCAGTTAAGTTCTGAGCATTTTTTATTGTCATAACCAATGTATATACCTAAGATTTTAAATGGTTCTTTGACCCAACATAACTTATAAGGTTTATTAGTACGATTCTTCCCCCTGCCAATCCACATTGCTTTTGTTTTTCATATTAAGTCTTAAACCTGAAACTTTACAAAATTGATCAATCAAAACAATGGACCTATTAAGGCTAGTTTCATTTCCGATGAATAATACCGTATCATCGGCCAATTGAGCAATACGTGCCTCATGATCAGTAGTGGAATTGCATGGCAATGGTATTCTTCTTAACAAGGTATCTGATATAGTATTATTAGCCATCATTTCTACTACTAGAATATAAAGCTGTGCGGACAACGGACAACCTTGACGCAAACCGTTTTGCATTTTAAAACTCTCAGATTTTATCTCTTTATGGGCGCTTCATTTAACCAGGGAACAGTGAAATTTCACTCTTCTCTAATTTAACGACCGAATAAGTAATAAAAATATATATATAAGATAAATAAAATATAGAAATGGATATAGCGTGTACATTACATGAATATATGGTTAAGTGTAACTGAAGCAATGCATAAATAAATGAAACGGGCAAATAAATTATAAAAACAAATTAAAGGCAAAAAAGTGAAAAAAAAATGTTAATAAGTGAGTATATAATTAATTATAATTAAACTATGTGCCATCACGCATAAATCTTTCGCCTTTTACTAAAGATTTCCGTGCAGAGGAACACTCTTTGAGATTAAACTCAATTTTTCTCAGCCTTTGAGAAAATCAAGGGTCGTTATGAAATAAAAATAATGTTGTATGTTTCAATTATATTTCCACACATTGCTGTCTATAGGTGGTACGTACTTTTCCAGATATTTTGATAGTTCTTTTTTTCTATCTGTTAATGGGCGCTTCATTAAACGACCGAATAATTAAGTACCAGTACATAAAAATATATAAGATAAATTAAATATAGAAATTGATATATAGCCTGATAAACATATGGTTAAATGTAACTGAAGAAATTCATGCATAAATGAAGCGGACAAATAAATAATAAAAACAAATTAAAGGCAAAACGGTAAAAAATAATAATTAATAATTGAGTATATAAATAATTAATTAAACCGTGTGCCATCATATTATTTAATCGCAATATTATTAGCATAGGCATACAGCGAATGACTAGTTTATTAAATAAAAAAGCACACAAACACAAACTTTTTGGCAAGTGGGCCTATATATTATGAATTTCGTATTTTATAGGCCCCCTACAGTAGATAGGAAAGGAACTTGCATTGTAACAAATAGAGCTATAATTAAATATAAAGATTTTAATTACTTAATTATTACTTCACAGCTATTATTAGAACAGTACAACTTTTAAAACTTTTTACACTTTTTATTGTTTATATCTAGCTGTTGGATTTTAAAGTCATGTTTTAGTTATTGCGTTTTATAAATAGTTACCACCTACCCGTTGCGTTGAATGTTATATAATACTGCCCTCGTTCCGTTTGACGTCACTCTTGTTTCTCTGCATCACGGATAAATCTTTCGTCTTTTACTGAAGATTTCCGTGCAGAGGAACTCTCATTGAGTTTAAACTCAATTTTTCTCAGCCCTTGAGAAAATCAAGAGTCGTTATGAAATAAAAATAATGTTTTCATTGTTTGGATGGTACGTACTGCTTCCAGACATTCTCTGAGTTTTTTTTTTCTTTTTATTGTTAATATCTAGCTGTTGGGTTTAAAGTCAAGCTTTAGTTATAGCGTTTTATAAATATTTGACACCTACCTGTTGCGGTGACCATTGTTATATAATACTGTCCTCGTGCCATTTGAGATTACTCTGGTTTCTCTGCATCACGCATAAATCTTTCGCCTTTTACTAAAGATTTCCGTGCAGAGGAACACCTCATTGGGTTTAAACTCAATTTTTCTCAGCCCTTGAGGAAATCAAGGGTCGTTATGAAATAAAAATAATGTTTATTATCATTGTTTGGATGGTACGTACTGCTTCCAGACATTCCCTGAGTTTTTTTTGTTTTTTGTTTTTTGTTTTTTGTTTTGGTTTGAATGTGCTTATGTGCGCTTCATTCAGTGACCGAATATACTGTAAGTAAATAAAATTATATAAGATAAATAAAATATAGAAATGGATATAGCGTAATTGTATTGAACCTTCATTTAGGTAATGTACAATATTTCAATATAAAGATTTAATTACTTAATTACTATCACAACTATTGTTATAATACAATTTTTTCCACTTTTAAACCTTTTATTTTTGTGTCTATTGTTGTGTGTATACGTGCAGGGAACGTATACAAACCGACTGATATTATTTCTATAGGTTGAGATGTATATGTTCATGTACTATGATATTATGTGTATGCATGCACGCACGTGCGGACAGTACTAATGTACTGGATGTATTTATAAGCTTTTGCTAGTTTTAGTTAAGATCGTTTTCCTTCAATTGTTTCAACGGCCCTGAAACCTGTTGCACTTGCCAAACTCCTATTATTTCTCCTAAAATTAGAAGAAAAACAAATGATCTGATTTTTTTTATATAGGGCCTAAGTGTTTAATTATATGTTTACCCATGGAGGTATTATAAACAAATTCCTCCATGGTTTACATAGAAAAGCCATTAAATCTTATCTGAGCACTATTTTGCTGAAGGTATGATTATGTAATCTTTATAATAGAGTAAAGTAATATACTGCTTGTATAATAATGATGTTTTTTTTTTTATAAAAGAAAAGCGTGTAGAATTAAAAACAAAATAAGAACACGGAGCCTTGCAAACTTTTAATGGTTCTTACAAAAGCAAATGTGAATATCTTTAAATAAATTCCGTCTTCCATACAGTAGGAAGGGAACTTGCATTTTAATAGGCCTACATAAAAAGTTAAATATAAACAGTACAACTATTTAAACTTTTTTACATTTTTTTTTAATAGGCCTATCTATCTGTTGGGTTTAAAGTCATGTTTTGGTTATTGCGTTTTATAAATATTTGACACTTACCCGTTGCGGTGACCAATGTTATACAATACTGTCCTCGTGCTTCCAACGCCACTCTTGTTTCTCTGCATCACGCATAAATCTTTCGCCTTTTACTAAAGATTTCCGTGCAGAGGAACACTCATTGAGTTTAAACTCAATTTTTCTCAGCCTTTGAGAAAATCAAGGGTCGTTATGAAATAAAAATAATGTTTATTATCATTGTCTGGATTGTACGTACTTTTCCAGATATTTTGAGAGTGTTTGTATCTCTTTATGGGCGCTTCATTTACAAACCGAATAAGTAAATAAAATTACATAAGATAAATAAAATATAAAAATGGATATATCGTGTACAGTACATGAACATATGGTTAAGTGTAACTGAAGCAATGCATAAATAAATGAAACGGGCAAATAAATGATAAAAACAAATTAAAGGCAAAAAAGTGGGAAAAAAATTAATTAATAAGGGAGTATATAATTAATTATAATTAAACTATGTGCCATCAAATTATTTAAATCGCAATATTAATAGTATAGGCATTGACAGCTAATGACTAATTTACATTTAAAAAAAAAACCAGACAGAAGCTGTTTATAGGCCTATATCTTATAACTTTCGTCTTCCATACAGTAAATAAAAAAGGAACTTGCATTGTAACACATAGAGCTATAGTTAAATATAAAGATTTTAATTACCGGTACTTAATTATCACTTTACAGCTATTATTAGAACAGTACAACTTTTAAATTGTTTTTACACTTTTTATTGTTAATATCTAGCTGTTGGGTTTAAAGTCAAGCTTTAGTTATCGCGTTTTATAAATATTTGACACTTACCTATTGCGGTGACCAATGTTATATAGTACTGTCCTCGTGCCATTTGACATTACTCTGGTTTCTCTGCATCACGCATAAATCTTTCGCCTTTTACTAAAGATTTCCGTGCAGAGGAACACCTCATTGGGTTTAAACTCAATTTTTCTCAGCCCTTGAGGAAATCAAGGGTCGTTATGAAATAAAAATAATGTTTATTATCATTGTTTGGATGGTACGTACTGCTTCCAGACATTCCCTGAGTTTTTTTTTTTTTTTTTTTTTTTTTTTTTTGGTTTGAATGTGCTTATGTGCGCTTCATTCAGTGACCGAATATACTGTAAGTAAATAAAATTATATAAGGTAAATACAATATAGTAATGGATATAGCGTAATTGTATTGAAACTTCATTTAGGTAATGTACAATATTTCAATATAAAGATTTAATTACTTAATTACTATCACAACTATTGTTATAATACAATTTTTTTCCACTTCTTTTAAACCTTTCATTTTTGTGTCTATTGTTGTGATACGTGCAGGGAACGCATACAAACCGACTGATATTATTTCTATAGGTTGAGATGTATATGTTCATGTACTATGATATTATGTGTATGCATGCACGCATGTGCGGACAGTACTAATGTACTGGATGTATTAATAGGCCCTATTCATTTGTTTCCCCTTGCTTTTGCTAGTTTTAGTTAAGATCGTTTTCCTTCAATTGTTTCAACGGCCCTGAAACCTGTTGCACTTGCCAAACTCCTATTATTTCTCCTAAAATTAGAAGACAAATAAATGATCTGATTTTTTTTTATATAGGGCCTAAGTGTTTTAATTATATGTTTACCCATGGAGGTATTATAAACAAATTCCTCCATTGTTTACATAGAAAAGCCATTAAATCTTATCTGAACACTATTTTGCTGAAGGTATGATTATGTAATCTTTATAATAGAGTAAAGTAATATACTGCCGTATAATAATCATGTTTTTTTTTTATATATAAAAGAAAAGTGTGTAGAATTAAAACCAAAATAAGAACACGGATCCTTGCAAACTTTTAATGGTTCTTACAAAAGCAAATGTGAATATCTTTAAATAAATTCCGTCTTTCATACGGTAGGAAGGGAACTTGCATTTTAATAGGCCTACATAAAAGGTTAAATATAAACAGTACAACTATTTAAACTTTTTTACACTTTTTTTTTAATAGGCCTATCTATCTGTTGGGTTTAATGTCATGTTTTGGTTATTGTGTTATATAAATATTTGACACTTACCCGTTGCGGTGACCAATGTTATATATAATACTGTCCTCGTGCTTCCAACGTCACTCTTGTTTCTCTGCATCACGCATAAATCTTTCGCCTTTTACTAAAGATTTCCGTGCAGCGGAACACTCATTGAGTTTAAACTCAATTTTTCTCAGCCCTTGAGAATATCAAGGGTCGTTATGAAATAAAAGTATTAATGTGTTAGGTTTATTTATGTTTCCACACATCGTTGTCTGGATTGTACGTACTTTTCCAGATATTTTGAGAGCTTTTGTATCTCTTTATGGGCGCTTCATTTACCGACCGAACAAGTAAATAAAATTACATAAGATATGAAATAAAATATAAAAATGGATATATCGTGTACAGTACATGAACATATGGTTAAGTGTAACTGAAGCAATGCATAACTAAATGAAACGGGCAAATAAATGATAAAAACATTTTAAAGGCAAAAAAGTGAAAAAAAAATTAATAAGGGAGTATATAATTAATTATAAGTAAACTATGTGCCATCAAATTTTTTAAATCGCAATATTAATAGTATAGGCATTAACAGCTAATGACTAGTTTACATTTAAAAAAAAATCAGACAGAAGCTGTTTGTAGGCCTATATCTTATAACTTTCGTCTTCCATACAGTAAATAAAAAAGGAACTTGCATTGTAACACATAGAACTATAGTTAAATATAAAGATTTTAATTACTTAATTATCACTTTTTCAGCTATTATTAGAACAGTACAACTTTTAAATTGTTTTTAAACTTTTTATTGTTAATATCTAGCTGTTGGGTTTAACGTCAAGCTTTATTTATCGCGTTTTATAAATATTTGACACCTACCTGTTGCGGTGACCAATGTTATATAATACTGTCGTCGTACCAATTGACATTACTCTGGTTTCTCTGCATCACGCATAAATCTTTCGCCTTTTACTAAAGATTTCCGTGCAGAGGAACGCTCTTTGAGTTTAAACTCAATTTTTCTCAGCCCTTGAGGAAATCAAGGGTAGTTATGAAATAAAAGTAATGTATTATGATTTATTTGTATTTCCACACATCGTTGTCAGGGTTGTACAGACTTTATCTCGGTTTTTTTTTCTCTTTTCAGGCAAAGCCACATTTATTCAATAACACATAATACCAATGATTTTCAAAATAACAAATCAAATCAGCAAATTCATATTCAAAATAAAAAGAGAACAAAAGGCCTATATATTAGACCTCTTAAGTTTCTTATTATCGTTTCATAGCAGCACAATTTTTACAATCAAATTTCACTCCTTTCATTTCCTTACTAACAATTTATTTTATAAAATTTTGTATTTGTTTTTTTTTTCTCTTTTGTAAATTCATTTCTTTTTTTTTTCTCTCTCTATCTTTCTTCCCTTTCATTTTGAGTTGGAAACCCACAAAGAGGAAGAAAAAACTATGTTAAGAGTGAATTTATCAATTAACAGGTCAATCAGAATAACAATAATGCAATGGTAATTGCAGCAGTTGGCATTATTATGATGCTATTACAGGTAAATCCTTATAAATATGTTTTGTTAATTCTATAATACAAAGATTAAAGTCTTAAATAGTTAATTACCTTAATCCATTTCTTTAATGCTTTTTCTCTGTTGATAATAAATTCACAGTTGATATTGATACTACTTTTTAGCATATAGTGATAAATAAATTCTATAAGTTTCTACATACGTAGTTGTTTAGTTCTGACAAAGTTTTTTGTTTATAAATCGTAAACATCTCATTAATTACATTATTATCTGTATCAAGAATAATATCTTTATATTTTATCCTGATGTAATGTATGTTGTTAATCATATTCTGTACATTTTCCCATAAATTA